AAACACTGTTGGATGGGGGATTTAGAGGTACTTAATACTTGAAATCATGTAGTACTATAAATGAAGGAAGTATATACTCATTTGTTGCTATCTATTCTGATTGCTTTTAACCAGATGTAAATATTTCCTTTCTCTTTCTTCCGCCCTTTACCATTCTGACAAAAAAAAAAAAAAAAAGTAAACTGTTCTATTTTGTTCCAGCTAATATGATGGAGAGGCTAAAGATTTATGAAGAGGCCTGGACTAAATACCCGAGGGGACTAGTTCCAAGAAGATTACCATTAAATTTTTTGTCAGGTAAATGCATTTTTGCTGAGTGGCTAATAATCTACACTAGTGCTTCCTTCTTAAATGCTCATGTTCTAACAGCACTTGTACACAATTGAGAAGTAATGTGTGATAAAACAAAATCAACAGGTCTTTTTCCTCTCAAGGTGAAAAGTTTAAGGAATGTCTGGACAAGTTCCTAAGGATGAATTTCAGCAAAGGTTGCCCGCCAGTCTTCAATACCTTACGATCATTATATAAAGACAAGGAGAAGGTAGGATTCTTTTTTCATATGATGTCTTTTAATAGATGTTCTGCACTAAGGAGATTAAAAAAAAAAAAACACAAAACAAAACTTTTTTTTTCTTCATCCTTGTCTGCACTGTTGTGTATTATGGCCTAGGATATCTAGAACAATTTAAAAAAAAAAACAAAACAAGCATACATAGCCTAGTGCCCATTTGGAGAATGCAGAAAACTAAGACTTAATAATTAAAAACTTTATACAGTTTAACTGAGGGGACCTTGTTTGTTTTTGTTTTGTTTTTGTTTTTTAACTGAGACCGGGTATGTTTCCATGTGTCTGACATTTTAGGTTGCTGGAGAATTCTCTGCCCAAAAATAACTAGTTTGGGGATGGCCAGGTAGCTCAAACTGGAATGATACAGCATCTTGCCCGCAGATTTTATTGTTTTGTTTTCTTTTTTTTATCTTGTCTTGCATGTGTAGGTGGCAATCATTGAAGAGCTGGTGGTGGGTTATGAAACCTCCCTAAGAAGTTGCCGGTTATTTAACCCAAATGGTGAGTGCTAAACTGTCATGCTTGAAATAAGTTGTGCCTGGTATAACCATTGTGACCATTCAGAGGCAGAGAATCAGTGAAGTGTGAGAAAACTGAAATTGTTTTTCCTTCTTGGCCAAAACAGAACCATACCACAACCATCCTTAAAATGGATTTCAGCTGTCTAATTTTAAGTCTCTACTCATATATCTAGTTACCGTTTCTCTTGCAGTTTTGAGTTCAAGTATCCTGTTGTCAAGACTTGAATTGCATATTCTTCAGGAAACTGAAATTTGAAAGCTAGTGTTAGATTAATAAATAACAAAGGAATCGATGCTGATTTGGTAGCACAGTCTGCAGAGATTTTTCCTGTTCAGAGTTTGTGGTGTGATGGTGTCTGTTTCGTGTTGATCTTTTGTTTCTTTGTATACTTGTTCTTCGGGAGTTGAAATCCTTTTCCAGGTTATGAATGTAGTTTTGTTGCAAGGCATGGTTCTACATTCACAGAATCCAGCCTCTGTAGCATCCTCTCTGATAGCTTTATGTTTCTTTAGTTACCGTCATAACCATGTTGAAAAGAAAATACCTAGGAAAGATTTTCTGCGTAAAATATCAACAAAAGGTGGTCTTGAAATTTTAGTAGGTAGGTTGTAATGGTATAATAGTTAAGATAGCATGAATGACGGCATAAATGAAGATCATTAAAGACATCTTTAATGAAGCTGTAACCAGTTGTTCCCTCTTTGCAGAAATAATGTAATGCTTCCTTTAGAAGCTGGTTTAGCTTTCCATTTAATGTAATGCTCAGGCTACAGTAATGGAGACTACTCAGTAGCTTTTTAAATTTGTCCAGGCATTTCAAACACACGTGCTTCTCCATTTGAGGAAATAACTTACTGCAATTTCAATTAAATATTTGCTGTGATGCTAAATTTCATTCAAATAAACAGTATTCTTCCACCCTAAAGTGAATGAGTGTGTACAATTGCTTGTTAAGCTATATCCTATCTTGTGACTGGACCAGAATCCACGTGTTTTTTTTCCCCTCTCCCTGCAAAACAAAAATCAAGTGGGTATAACTTTTCCAGCAGTGTTGTAAACTTAAAGCACAACTCTCTAGTTTTCAAAACTGACTTTTGAAAAGCAGTTTTCGTAGGATGTGCTTAAATGAACTGTGACAATTAATTTGTCAAATGTAGAGATAGAAAAGCCTTTTTAAAGCTGTCAACAGACAGTTTTATTTGAAAATAATCAACTTTTTGGGCTGAAAACATCAAAATGCTGTAAGTGCTGAAATGCTTTATGTCATTACTGTGCAGCACTTGTGTTCAGCAGGACTTCTTGCTTTATCCTTCACCTAAAAGCAGTATTCAGCGAGAACTTGTGTTGTGCACCTCAGTTCTGCTCATCTGGCTGTCTCGATTAAGGGGCTAGTTGGATCCAAATACAACTCTTCTGACCCACCAGTTCAGGCTTCCTTTCATTGAAAATCACGGTGTGAGAATAGAAAACTGTGCTCAACTCTTGTCTAAACAGACTTAAAAGGTGTTGAGCTTAACTGGAGTTTGGAAACACTCCCAGGTGTGGTGTGGCAGCCTGACAGAGAGGCACAATTAACTTCAGCATCTACATATGTAGAATTTTTCTCCTGCCATGTTATCTGAATAAACTGAAGCAAAAAAATCTCACTCATTTTTTTCTTACTGTAGATGACGGTAAAGAAGAACCTCCGACCACTTTACTTTGGGTCCAGTATTATTTGGCTCAACATTATGATAAAATTGGGCAGCCATCGCTGGCTCTAGAATACATAAATGCTGCTATAGAAAGTACTCCCACTTTGATAGAGCTGTTCCTTGTGAAGGCAAAAATCTATAAGGTAAGTTTGGCTCACACTTGCTGATCCCTGGCTAATCTTTTGGCTTGATGAAAAGATCACACGTGTTTACACTTCCTCGATATTGAGGGAACATCAAAATGCTAGGTTTGTCTTAAGCAAGATGCAGAGAATCCATGGATAATGTTTGAGTGGGTTTTAGTGAGTTCTTAAAGTATAGATTATTGATGGCCTGGTAGGGTTTTTCATTCTGTACGAATCAGCCCATTTTTAAAACTCAGTAAAGGAGGAGCGTACCGCAAATGTACGTTGTCAATTTGCAGTTAGGTTTTGAATTAAAAAATCACACTGCAGAATGTAGTTGATTGCATACACACCCTTATTTTCTTAACTGTTTAAAACTAATTCCTCAGCTGCTGTGCGGTATTCTATGAAAATGGGATTAACCAAAGTGGTTTTCAGTGAACTTCCTGTGCTGAAAGACCTTTGTAACTCCAAAAGAATGGAAAGTAGTTACTTTCTTTTTTTTTTTTTTCCTTTAAGGATCTGTTGCTTTCCTAAGGAAAGCCATTTATAAGGAATTGTATAAAAAATTAACTAGTTATATTAATGCAGTGAGTGGAGAAAATGTACACATTGTATACATACTGAGTTTAATTTGCTTTTTTTTTCTTTAAGCATGCTGGAAATATTAAAGAAGCTGCAAGGTGGATGGATGAGGCTCAGGCTTTGGACACGGCAGACCGATTTATCAACTCCAAATGTGCAAAATACATGTTGAAAGCAAACTTTATTAAAGAAGCAGAGGAAATGTGTTCTAAATTTACGAGGGTTGGTTGCATTTAACTATAACTCTTTGGTATAACATAGGCCTAATCCCTTATGGAGTCTTGTGTTAATTTTCCACTTAACGTTATTGCAATCCTTAGGTTCTGTTTCAGATGAAATATGGTTTCTTGCTTTACTGATTATTGTACTCAGCATCATGGTTTGAATTACGAAGCATAATTCTTTAGAATTAAGGGAAAACAGTGTTAAAGCATTTTGGCTTTTTTCTTTGCCAAGTAGGGAAAATACAGGATGCCCTTTCTGGATGAAAATTCTTTGGGTTTAATACAGATTCTATAGAATCATTGAGAGAAATTTTGAAGTAGCTTACATCGAGGTTCTCACATAATACGTTAAGAATAATCAAACATCCCTATAAATAAGAAATTCCTGTAAAGAAATTCTGTGGCTATGAGATGTGTCTTCCTAAAATGCCGACCAACTTTCATCCTCAAAGCCATGTTTAATAGGCATAAAGGGAAGCTGCACATGTTATCTTTTTGTTTGCATCTGCTTACTCTGTCAGTTGTCAGGAAGAGTTTGCACTGTACAGATTACTGAATTTCATGCATCAGCTTTTGTCCCTGCCTAAACTATTCTAATAGGTTTGATGTCTCATAGGTTAGTTACTTTTTACATTTATTTATCTTGCTGTTGGTATTTTATAAGAACGAAAGTCAAAATAGCTTGATGTCTTTTTCAAATAATAGGCTTGTTTAGTACTGGCCCTATCGTTCATGTCTTATCCCATTTTTCTCTTTGTTGAAGACTAAGGAAAACCTGTAGTCCGGTAGTGTGAATGTGGGCAGTTAAGAGGGAAAACAAAGGACTTTTTTTGAAAAAAAAATTTTTTTGGGTGTGCAGGCAAACACTGGATGAGGCTTAAAGAAAAAATTATATAAGCTCAATAGGTTTGCGTGTTTATGTGTAAAGGTGCAAAATTACTCTGAATCCAGTCCTACCGACTTCTTTCCATGCCTTCAGCAGCTTCAAGATATGTCAGAAAAGCAAGCGTAGTTGCCCAGAATGAAACTTCAAAAATATAACATGATGATGTTGCCCTTTTTGGTCTTTGTCTTCTTTTGATCTTGTTTCTACTGCTCCAAGTACGAGCTTCTTAAAAAACAATTCTAATAGTCCTAAATGAAAAATACTGAAAGTGGGACCTGGACAGTTTTTCTGATTTCTTGTTGCTCAAATGAGACTCATTTGAAGACTGGCTTTCTCTTTCATTTGGAGCATTCTCCACACTCTTACATTTGAATATTATCCGTGATGTTCTCAGCCTTGGCTCTTGGATCGTTGTTGCATAGCTTGCTTTTAATTTATTTTTTTTTTTCCATGACTGGAGTGAACTTTGTGAATGGCTGAAACTGGTGTTAAGCTTGAAAGGCACATCAATTCTACAGATGTATGGAAGCATATACAAATACCAGATAAGAAAGACAGTTGTGAGCATTTCTGAATCAGAAATCATCAAAACTACTGGTACTGCTTTGCTTTACCAATGCGATAGACTTGGATAGAGTATTAAAAGCAATTAAATGAATGCCTTTCCTATCCCTCAGGTGAGGAACTATCACAGCTAAGTGGTCACTACGTGGCTATTCGCTGCATGTTTGAGTCTTCTGAAAATAGAAGCGTAGAGGGCAGTATTCTTCACTTTGGAGACCTGATTAATGGACAAAGCAAATCCATCTTGCTGATTGCTTGAAGCAGCGTTGTGGGTGAAGGAAACAGACAGTGCTGTGAAAATACGGGACCACAGAAATGAAAGTGGTGCAGCAAAGCTTACATCGGCGTGCAAATGCACAAAAGGAATATATTAATGTGTATTAAGGAATAATTTATATTATGGCAACGTTGATATTTTGAGGACCTCACTTTTGAAATTTAGCATTACCTTGGCCTTTTTACTTGCGCTTTTCACTGATTAACTAATTGAGATGTGTTTTTAACAACGCTGTTTTTGCTTGTAGGAAGGAACCTCGGCAGTAGAGAACTTGAACGAAATGCAGTGCATGTGGTTCCAGACAGAATGTGCGCAGGCTTACAAAGCAATGAATAAATTTGGAGAAGCACTTAAGAAATGCCATGAAATCGAGAGAGTATGTATCTAGTCAAACTGGCTAGGTTGCAAAATACTAGCTGAAATTTACGTTGCTAATATGTTTCCTTTTTGAGCAGTAAGTGTATACTTTATGTAGCTCTTGGAGTGTTTTTTGTTTCTTGTTAGACACTGGGGAGCTGATAAAAAGGATATTTTCACCTAAAAATTAGATTGCGGTGTGTTAGAGTATGTGAAGTATTGTAAAGATCCGGGAAGGAACAGAAAACTGTCAAAAACAGGCTTTATTAATTTTATTCTAGCATCTTCTCCTTTAAAAGTAAATACTAAGACTAAGCTACACATTAAAAAGGAAACAATTAGAAATATAGAAACTTCTGAAAGTAGAAAGTGTATCCAAAATCAGAAGGATAAAACCTTGCGCATCAAATGCAGATTCACAGTAAGCAAACAAAAAAAGTTTGGGATGTGCGAATTCCCAAAACAAAACAACAACCACCACCCACAGCCAGATAATGTTTTGCTTGTTTTTCAAGCAGGTAAGTCTATTAACATGACAAGATAGCTGAGGGTGTAAAGTAATTGGAAAGGAGGAGTAACAGGAAACTATGCATCTTTTCAAAAGGAGACTGTTAAGGTTTCAACACTGATGCTTCTCTGCTGGCAGAACTTATTTGTATGTATATTCACATGAAATATCAAAAATGTGATTCCCAAACAGTGGCCAAGACCACGTTCTGTTGGCACAAACCTTTTAAAGAAATGTGGCTAGCTGGGGAAGGAGGGACTAGAAGAACACTTTGCCTGTCTGTGATTGGTGCTAGGTCCTGTGTGAATTACTGCTGCTTGGGAAAGAAATTGCGGAACAGAGTTCCAAAAACTGTGCTGGTGTAGAGGACTGGCTGAAAACTGGCTGAAAGGACTAACAGTTGGGAATTACTTTTCCTTTCGTCATGTAAATCCATAGTTTACATCTGATTGTCACACAATTGCTTTTCTTAAAAATGAGCCAGTAGAACATAAGCTGTGGAATGGCTTCTATATGAGGACAGCGCACTTAGCTTGTCACTCTTAGTATTTCATCCTCAGTTTGAGAAGCAGCAACCTCTCAAGAGATCATAAATACATTGAGAAGTTGAAGATGGGAATGACTTTTCACTCAAACAAAAGCATTGGGTGATACTGAGGAAGCAGAACAAGAGAAAGTACTTTTTCATGCCACGTGATGTGGAATTCATTGCCAAAGTAGTTGATGGAAGTCAGAAGTATAAAGTGAAAAAATAAAATGAGTTAATAGAGGAAAAATTCAAGTATCACTTATTAGCAATAAAGGCAGGATCTTCTCTTAAACTTCACGTTGTCAGAGGGTAGTTACAGCTGAGGTGCTGTGGGTTGGATGATTTGGTTCTGACCTAGGATGTTGTCTTTCTTTTTTTTTTTTTAACCTTTACATTTTTGGCTTTTTTTAATTCTCACTTCAAAAAGTTAGTGTCAACAGCAGTCTACTAAATTATTCCTTTTGGAGGGGAGGGAAGTGGGTCAAGTCAAGTTTAGTATCCGATTAATGCTTGCTAAATGATGTTATGTTGTGTTAGCATTTTGTAGAAATCACAGATGACCAGTTTGACTTCCACACTTACTGCATGAGGAAGATTACTCTTAGGTCTTATGTGGACTTGTTAAAGCTAGAAGATGTACTTCGACAACATCCATTCTACTTCAAAGCAGCACGGATTGCCATAGAGATATATTTGAAACTTCACGATAATCCCTTAACAGATGAAAATAAAGAGCACGAGGCTGATACAGGTATTCAACCTTCAAGATTTATTAAAGTTTCACTAATTAGTGAATATTTTAAGAAGGTCCAACATTTTTACAGTTGCTAACTGTAAGTTTCTTACTGTAACCGAATAGAAGTTACCCCACAAGGTAAGTTGTCCTGGAAGTAAAAGTAAATATTCTACTGAAAGCTCAACTAATCTAAGTTTTTATCTAGTATGAGAAAACTGTGTTTTTTGTTTTTTTGTAGTAACAGTTGTAATTCTTAAGTAAAAGCATTTCTGTTATGAAACAGCTGACAAAACGTTGAATTCTCATGGTTGTTCATCTGCAACAGATTGAAGAAAAAGATAAATAAAAATCGGCATGCGAAGAAATGGCTAGCATAGATTACATTTAGTCATCTCTTGCTGTTAATTTAAAAGTAGTTCAAGACTTTAATTTTCTTTATTTTTGGCCCTTCGTATTAGAGGGAGAGTAGCTTGTCTGGTTGTGGCGTGGGGCGCTTCTAGTGGTATGAGTAATGCTTTTGAATACTTAGAGAAGAACTTGTCAAGTTGAAGATTTCCCATTTTGTGTTCATTTATGTGGATTTGGGTTCATATTAAGACGAGTAGAAGCGTTACAGAATTTCTCGTAGCTGCTTTCGATGCATTTTCAATGAATTCTCCATGCTTTAATTGGAGGGAGGGCAGGATCTGAGTATGAGATAAGTATGAGATGAGGCATCAGTGTTGTCTGTTTTGCCTTTTGTATCTATACAGCAAATATGTCTGATAAGGAGCTGAAGAAACTACGAAATAAGCAGAGAAGAGCACAGAAGAAAGCACAGCTGGAGGAGGAGAAGAAGAATGCTGAGAAAGAGAAGCAACAGAGGAATCAGAAAAAGAAGAAAGATGATGACGATGAAGAAATTGGAGGCCCGAAAGAAGAACTTATTCCCGAGAAATTGGCCAAGGTGCTTACTAACGTTGCATTAAGCAGTCAAAATTTATGGAAAAGTTGCCGATACTGAGAAAGCAGACAGCAGAAGTGCTCTACTCACGGTAGTATAGCATCCAAGTATTGATGGATCGAGTATCCAATATTTTCACATTGCAGGTGTGACGAATATTATTGGCTTTTGTGGGGTATACTGGAAGGCAGACAAAGTGAAATTTATAGCCAGGAAGCAAGTGACTTGAAAAACTTAACTACTCCCACTATATTGCAAGAAGAAGCACTCTAATTGTGATGCTCATTAAGATTGAAGTGGTTTCAGTGGCATGCTCTGGACCAGAGGATGTCATGGGATATCTCGTGAAAATCTAAGCTGTCCTCAAGTTCTAGGGAATAGTTGCAGCTGTATAGTCCCTTCCTTTGACGTATCTTTGCAAATTATATTCCATATTTAGTGTGAGAATCATGATTTAGAGAGCTCCAGATACAGTTGGTTGTTGGGGCTGAAATACCATTTCTGATATAGTTGGTCACTTGCAAACAGTTTTCCTGGGACAGTTGAAATCGGATTTCTTTGGTGGATGAGGCATCACTTTGGCGTTAAGCACGTAGCTTTGGAATGTGACTGGTGTATTTTAAACAGTTTTAAGTGTGGAGTTGTGACTCGCTTACACGGGCTCCTAGCAGCATGTGTTTTTATAATGAGAACTGATAGAGTCTATGATTAGCAAGAACTCTGTGAGGTGTCTGTCATTGTCTTCAGCGTTTCCTTGCGCAGCTTAATGAAGCGTATTGCTTCAACATTGCAAAAGCATTACGAACAGACAACAACTTGTGTTTGTTGACAGTTGGACTAGATGACCTTGTAAGTCCTTTCCAACTTTGATTCTATGATTTTTATTAGAATTTACATAGGACAACAGAAGTTTCTCATTCTCATTATCCTCAGTCTTTTAATGCAAGAGGTCTGTTTGTAAGGAGTCCGAATAAACCGAATTTATTTGTGTTAAAGCCACACATTACTGGTTGTCCTTGTTAAGAGCCACTGACCGCTGTCAGTATCTAGTTACTTCTAACCCATCATTAATGTCTCAGGTGGGAATGTTGCCACGACCTGGCAGCTGTCCGGAACCTGCCTGCAGCTCACTTGAACAGACTCTGTCATGAATGAGCACAAACCAATTATTTACTGACATTTTAGGCCTGTGTGTGTAGCTTTCTGTACATTACTGCGCAGGTTCAGCCACAATTGTTGTTAACACTAATGTATGATAGAAGGCAAAGATGTATCTTAATAGGAAAATATGGTTTGTCAGCATTGTGAAGCAGTCAGAGTTCACAGTCTGTGTTCGGACACGGAGTAAAATAAGCAAAATGTATAACAGGTGCTAAGTATCACGTGCGTTATGGTTTGAGGGTAACCCTCTGATGCAACTTGACTTGTTAGAGAGTTAGTTAATGTCTTAATTATATGTCCTTCCTGGAATCTGTAGGTTGAAGCACCTTTGGAAGAAGCCATTAAATTTTTAACCCCCCTGAAGAATTTAGTGAAGAACAAAATAGAGACGCATCTCTTTGCCTTCGAGATTTATTTTCGAAAAGGTAGGTGAGAGTACTGGTGAAATCAATTTGTTTGTTCGGATTCTAACATCCTTGAAGAACCACGTGTTGATCTGTTGAGGAATCAGACCCTGTAGAGACATAACAATTCATTGTGCAAAGTAGCCATTAGCATTCTGTGAAGAATGCAAAGTCGGAACGCTTGCTGATTATCTGGTTTTTTTGCTGCTCGTGTAAGCTATTGGACTATAGAACCAATTCTCCCAGCTTGCACTTGCCCTCGTTACTTGTTTGCATCACAAGTCTGCGGAACTGCACACCACGTAGAAGCGATGGACACTTGCTAATGAGTCCTTTGAAGTGCTCAGCTTTAGAATTCTGTTGACATCAGTTAAATATTATGCTTTATGAACTACTTCAAATTTACTTCCTAATTTAACAGGTCTAATAAACGTCTATTGCAAAAGAAATAGTTCCTGTAGAACACTCGCCTTTAATTTGTTCTCATCATTCTAATTCCAAAAGTTTTCCTGCAGCATAAGGTATTGTGTTTGAGCTACATTTTTTTTGAGCATTTGCCAATTCTTTCTTTTCCAGAGAAGTTCCTTCTGATGCTTCAGTCTGTGAAGAGAGCTTTTGCAATCGATTCCAGTCATCCTTGGCTTCACGAGTGTATGATTCATCTCTTCAGCAGTGGTATGTATCTGTTGGGTATGACTTCATCTGTGTGTGCTTCCAGATGATGTCTAACCTACATACGGTCATTGGTTCTTAGTTTACAATCTGTTAGCGTAATTAATTCAAAATATTTAATAACGTTAGAAAGCTTTTCAAGCAACCGACTATATGTTAAATTAGGTTTATTGTAACTGTGGCTGGATTGAGTTAGTCTTTGAACAAGTGTTAGTACGTATCTTTACAACTGTGAGCAATGTGGTGAGTCCCTGCAAGAGTGAGAGAACAATTGGAAACTGCAGAATGAGTAACGTGGCTTCTCTGCTCTCAGCTTGTGTCAGTGTGTAAGGAGAAGGTTTAGAATCACGTCTTTTTTTTTGGTGGTAGACTGGAAGGCTTTTCTTCCTTCTCCAAAAGCGTTTCTTCATCTTGATGGCTAAATATATATAAATATATATAATGGCCAGATATATTCAAGAAGAGACTTTTCTTGTCTCGGTCTTTGAGCCTAATAGGCTTTAATCAGCAAGACAGAGAATGTATTGGAGTAAATGGCTTTGGCTTTTTTCTGTGCATCAGAAGACTGTTTAGTTGAGCTTTATTCCAACCGGTCGTGGTTACTTACCTTATTTTATGCATCTTCCTTTGAGATATGTCCTTTTCAGTCATACTGATAATGTGAATATGATAAAAATAAAAGCATAAAGTAGATTTTACTGTGATTACCTCTGGTTAACTTTTTTTCCCACTTCATTAGTATCTGAAAGTAAGGATCTGCCTGACGCAGTTAGAACAGTGTTAAACCAAGAGATGAATCGGCTTTTTGGAGCAACTAATCCAAAGAACTTCAATGAAGCTTTCCTTAAAAAGAACTATGACTCGCTGCCACATAGGTTATCAGGTATTTTGCCTTCTTCCTTTTCCCGCTCGGCTGCTTTACTTTCTTTGATCTGGCCGTGTCCTCTCGCGTACTGCGCCAGCCGTGTAAAGATGGCCTGTTCCGTGCAGAATGCTATCCCTCGCCTGGTTCAGAGTTGTAGAGTTTTCTAATACATCTCTTTGAAGAGACTGACTGTCGAGAAGTGTGCTGAGTACCCACAATCAAGTATTACAGTGTTATAGTGGGAAAGCAGGATGTAAGCCACCAAGGCGTCAGCATTACATTAGTGTCGTGGCTCCGTGAGTCTAAACCTGGCCTCAGTGAATAGCGAGTTCATTCTTTGTCTCTTCTCTGACGTCCAAGTTCTGAGCACACGTTGTGTGAGACTCGGAGCTTCTGTTTGGTTGTGCCTTGGTTCTGTCCTACGATCGTGTTGTAACAGGTCTCAATGCACTCATCTCTTCCGTGCCCCAGTTTCTGCATGAAGGAAATAGGAGCGCTGGTGCTAGAAGGAACTGTGGTCTGCTGCAGCAGATCTGATGTGTTATCTTTGTTGCCCGTACAGTTTGCTGCCAAATGCTCCTATCCTGCAGGACAGAAGCACCTAGGTGTTTCAATACTGTGTCTAGCATTCAGTAACAGCTGCCCCCTAACTGCTCAGGTATCACACTGTAATGCTTCATGTTGTTTTATTTTGAACTGCTACTGTAGATCTACGGCAATATGCCTATTAGTCACACTATCTCTATTTTATGTTTGCTTATAATAAATTTTTGGTCTTCCGTTGAGTGATGAAGCATGTGTTTCTTCTTGTAGCTGCCAGAATGATGTACTATTTAGATCCTTCCAGTCAGAAAAGAGCGGTGGAGCTGGCGATGACCCTGGATGAATCCCTCATTAACAGAAATCTTCAGGTAACAGATATAAATTGTAAACTACTACTGCTTCTCTATCTACAAAAGCTTTGTGCAAGCTACAGAGGTAAGAGGAAGCTGAAATGATGACTGTGCTTTATGTTAGGGAGGTTGGGTTGTCATGTGAGAGAAAGGTCGGTCAGGGTCATCTGAACTGAAAATTTGTCCTTTTTGCACATGCAGTGTAGTAAATAGCTAGGCAGCACCAGAAATCATGTTATTTCTCCACTGGAAGCGCCCTTAAAAAAGAAATGTCTGAAGGGGTTTAGACATTTCTTGAAACGCATTCTCATAAGCAAGGAAGTGACATTTGATTTGCAGTAGGGACCAAATGTCTCAGGGCACGTTGCAGATGTTAAATGGGACGTATTTGATCTCCTGTATATTCTAGTGTGGCACAGAGCTAATGCAAGGGAGCAAAGAGCTTGTTGAAGAGAACTTCAGAGCACCATAGCAAGGGGGACAAAGTGGTTACCCTCAACACAGAACAAATAAAAGCGATAGTAAATTGCAGAGGAGTGGGAAAAGAATAGTGTGTGAGGTGGAAGAAATGCTGATGAGCTCAGTTTCTCATGTTTGAAAATCAAGTTGGAAAAAAACCCACAAAAGCGGGAAACCTCCTTTTCCTCTTCTAAATCATTACATGGATACAGAAGTGCAAATAAATGTGAAGGAAGTGAAAAACCCAGATCGGTTCCGTTCAGTAGTTGCAGCCACGCACAGTAAGTCATGTACCCTCAAATGTGGGGAAAAAAGTTTGCACTGTCAGAAATGTGATCGCATAGAGTCGTGTTTATTCATTTAATGCATTCTTTATGTTTTAACTGTATTCCACGGTTCTTCCAATTTCTATCTGAAGGTGCGTTCACCAAAGCAAATTTTAGGAAAATATGGTGTATTTTCACAAACAAAAAGTGGGTCTGGAATATAAAAATCTGAATTTATGTTACGTTATTGCTTAAACGCTTAGCGTATCAAGATCTTGGGGAGGACCTCAATCAAGACACGTTTACTTGCAGATAAGCTTGCTTGCCAAGCAGTGAGAAACAGTAGTTCCAGGAAAATGAGGTATAGGTGACAAATGAGAATATTTACCTTCAGCTGAGATTTCCAGCTGCTGCAAAAGTCCCTTTAAAGCACGTAATTTCAAGTGAAGCTACGCTGCTACATCATGCTGCCACTAGCTAGAAAAAAGTGACTTGGTGGTGGTGGAAACCTGAAAACAGTACTTGGGATTTGCGTTTTGTTTGTGAGTGCTCAGATGAATGTTGAAGAGTCGGTAACGTTTCTTTATTTTTCTCTTTAATTAGACTTGTATGGAGGTATTAGAAGCTTTATGTGACGGTAGCCTTGGAGACTGTAAAGAAGCATCTGAAACTTACAGAGCAAATTGTCATAAGCTTTTCCCTTATGCTTTGGCTTTCATGCCCCCTGGTTATGAAGAGGATATGAAGATCACAGTTAACGGAGATAGTTCTGCAGAACCTGAAGAACTGGCCAATGAAATATGAACAACTGTATTGGAAAAAAATGACATTGGACCATATCTGGTGTATAATATTTTTGTCACGCACCTGCTGAATTGTTCTAACTTACACGGAGAATGGAAGGGAAAAAAACTGTTGCCTTCAAATAGTTTTACTTTTTTTTTTTTTATCCTGCTGACAAAGTATATATATGAAATATCTAACATATTACTGGATATAGGTTGTTTGGTTTCTTAAAAATTAAAAGCTGCTAAAATTGAAGAAAAAAAAAAACAAACCCTCGTCCTTACCTACCTACCCATGTTTTTAAACTAATTTATATAAAGTCTGGAGGCGCGGAGCCTTCAGAGCAGGTGTGTGGCAGAAATATTACTTTAAATTTGTCTTGTGAGATTACTGTTATCTCAGACAGCAAAAATGCTGTTTTAGCACTGGATTCTTTCACTGAGCACAAAGAGTTGTTGGGGCTTTAGCATCTGACTGATTTTGATACGGGGATGATTCAGTCCATAGGAAGTATGCAATGTGAAATCGGAATACACAGAGAGAAACCCGCAACATACTTGTTATGTTGTGGATGCTGGGACATACGGATACCAAGCAGAATTAAGAAACATAGTGTGTTCAATAAGCTTGTTGCGTCTCTGAAATTCACTGTACACGATCAGTTTGGTGTTCTTGCACCACAGTTTTTAACAGAAGGAACCAGTCGAATCGATATCTCTGAATGAAAGACGGGAGGCGGGGTGGGGAGAACGAATGACGTCGCTGGTTTTGAGATGAACCTGTCTGAATAGGTCGGCCAAACTTTTTTAAAACTGTAATGCAAGAACCAAATAAAATTATGCACTGTGATGTGGCACCAACTAATTAGGAAAGATAGCATGCGTTTTTCACGTAGAGTGAAAGCAAAATGAGAACATACTATGGCTTGAAGTTGCAAAGAGGAGAACTCCTGACTACCGTTCTGACTGATCAAGAGACTAATAGTTTAAAACCTCAGCAGGCCTTGTTCACGTTATGCAGAAAAAAAAAAAAAGTGCTGCAGTTTAGATACCTCTGGAACTTTTCCACAGTGTCACAGGTTTGTAATACTTGAAGCCCTACATTTCTAAGAATATATTTCTTGCTCAGTTGTTTCAGGCAAGCCCAAGACTTTGTAACTTTTAAGGGGCCCAAGATTTTTTTTCAATAACAGACCAGCTTCTTATTCCTGCAGTTACAGATGTAATTTCCTTTGTCAAACATAAGGTACCAAATATGATGCAATAAAACGTTTTGAAAAACAATTGTGTGAATATTTAAACCAATCTCTGTTGTACTTTGAAAATGAATGGGTTCCCAGGAGTGCAGCTCAGGGTTGGCTTACTATGCTGTCCGGTTATGCTAATAATGTCACTGCTGATGGGTGGATGCTGAGTATAAAGTGCAAGCGAATTATGTGAATACTGAATGTCTGGCTAGTCCTATAACACAGAATGCTTTTCTGCTTGGCTTTTAAGTTCCACCGGTATTACGTTGAAGCTTATTTTCCGAGTTGAGCTACGTTCAGCTTGTCTACTGTGTTAATAATATAGATACGTCCTCGAATGTTGCTTTTTTTAATAGGTTTATCATAAAACAGAGCGGAAAATAAACTACAGCTTATAAAGTGAGTGCCTTCTTTGCTGCAGGAATTCAGTCAGAGAGTATCTGTCATGTGGATACACAGCCTTCTTCTTCCACGTAATAGATGTCAGTGATTGATGCGTACAGTTCAGAAATCTGGGAGGATTTATCGAGGTTTGTAGTTCTGTCAGTTTTTTCTTGTGCGTTCAGCAACACTTTCTTTTCACGGTTAGATGATCCTCTTGAATGTTTGTGGTGTAGTTCACGTTGAAAATATATGTTGTATTGCTGTATTTGTATATTTAATCTGCTGGGCTTTAAAGGACTAGAACGCCTGTAGAGCCTCTAACTGCTCTTTAATGTCTAGATCTCGGTCTTTTTTGTGGCCTGAGATGCTCGGACTGCATGTCTTCTGCAACCACTGGAGATGGTTCGATCTTGCCTTCGCCAGCTATGAGCTCTTGGCCTTGCCTCTTTGAGTATTGCTGCCGTTCTCTTGGCTTCCGATGCTTAGCTGGAGGCAGATAAATGCTCACTTTTCTAAACAGTTCGTGAATTGCATCGAGCAATTTTCTTTTTTTCAAATTGCGTTTTGGATGCTGCCTATAAGCGGGATTGTGTCCTTCACTTGTTCCCCGCCTGTTTTTGCATCGAAATAGATGAACTAAAAGCAAGATTGTTATCCTTCATGATGCCAGTGGGAAAGGATATTTCTACGGGCCTTCCAGAAACCTCCATCTACATATCTGTTACGGTTCCCCCCAAGACTTCCAAAGGCATCCGTTGTGCTTCAGAAGGGGTGCTTTCAGATCAGAGGTTCCTCATTCCCTTCCGGAAGACTGCTGTCTCAGGCAAGGAAGTAGAGAGTTTCCCTGAAGTAGGAATTGGATTCTTATTTCTTCACACATCTCAGGTGTGTGGTTGACTGCCGAGGAGGCGTTTATAAATAGAGCTGGAAACAAAGTTATAACCCGACTCAGCGGATCTTTTGTGAAGTAGCAGTACGGCGTCGTGCTGCAGTGAAAACTTCCCTTTGCATGCTGAGATAAATGGCAGACTCTGGTGTTCAGCTGCAGTCAGAGCAATCTAGAACAGCTTATTAGTGGCAAAATTGGGTTTAGTATTTCACAGTTTCCCCTGAAGAAACATTCTTTTGCAATAAGTGGAGCCACAGCTGATGGCATATGCCGTGGATATCGGTTTTTGGTTGTTGCTGGGGTTGGTTTTTTTGGGGGGGAGAGGAGAGGAGGGCTGGGACTCGAACAATAAATTTTCCTTAGACAAGACTGCAGCTTGGGTTACTGCGTGCTGCATAAAGCAGTGTGAAGCGGACTTAAATTTTAAGTAATTAAAAGAGGTGGTAAGATAATAGGGAGAGCAGAGCGTTCAGGCACATCGGGCGGTATGTGCGTACAAACAGATAAAATATTCTCAGAAGGAACTACTCGGTAACAAATCTTTCTTCTTTGCGTTTAAAATGCCTTCAAAGCCTCTGCATCTCCTAAGGTTACACTTTTTGGATGAGGTCTTAATGCTGACATGGCTGCAGGGAGATAACGTTCCCGGTGTCAGCACAGAATGAAGTCTCGCTCAGTTGTTCCCCTAGCGTAAGGAGAAGGGTCTGAGTTTCCCAGGAAGATCTGCAGGGCTAGATGAGGTACGCACTATTAGCCTAGCAGACCTTTCTTGAGTATTTGATGAGGTGCGTGTTGTTAGCCTAATAGATTTTCCTTTAGCGTTTGGTTTGTTTTTACAGGTTTGGAGGTGCTCAGCTGTACAGGAGCCCCTGAACGTTGGTGTAACACCTTATTGGAGTTGTTTTTATATACAGAAGGGAAACACCAATGAGAGCAGGGTGAGATGGGGCCTGGGAAACTCGAGGTGCAAACGCAATCTCGGTATCATGTGAGAAAGTTCCAGTGTACAAAATGTAAGGACTCAGTCTTGGGTTACACCTTCGAAGGCTTGAGCAGCGGTGCCATTGTTCGCGTAGTGCTAGCACCCCGTATGCCACAGCTGCACTGCAGACATTTGCCACTAATGCTAAAACATCTGATAAGGTAATCCAGCTCAGTGTACCTGAGTAAAAAATACTTCTTCCCCTTTTCGTGATTGCTTTAAATGTTTTGTAAGTGTTCTGTACTGGCAGCTAGCTAGCTTGAAAATCTTTTCCCCGTCTTCCCTTTCTAGGAAGTTTGCTCTAGAAACGCGGTTTGTACCTGATGGGTAATGTAAAATAGCTCCTACTGTATGGAAGTACAAGTTGTGCTCGCCTGGTAACAAAGTATAGCCTGACCTGCTGCTTTGGGATGCTGTGGAAGAAGGTGTTGCAGATGTAGTCTATTTCGATGGCAGTGTCAGGGAGGAACGGAACAGCCCGTGAGCCTGCTGGCAGCGGATGCTGCTCCAGGTGGAAGAAGATGATTGCTGAGGCTGGGAATGACCATTGCTTCAAGGAGCGTTCTGGTTACGAACCGCTCTTTGGTGGTGGAAGGAGCAAAGAGTGTACATTTTTACTACAATCATGGTCGTGTTATTGTGATACTTCCTGGAAATTTAAGCTGCACGTGCCAGTTTCACAGCCTTTTTTGGGGCAGAGACTCTTTGTTGGAGCACACAGCCGGCGGTGAGAACGGCCAAGAGAAGCTGATACGGCATCTTGGCAAAAGGAGACTGAAGGGAGTTACGAGGAGGCAGCGTAATAGAAATTCTGTTTTAGATTAAGCATCAAAGTAGGGTTGGTTTTTTTTGTTGTTGCTAGAATGATTACTGAAACTGTAAATAATATAAATGCAGTCTCCTGTGTCCTGGAAGCTGTACGTGTATATTACTGCTAGAGCGGTTCAAGCAAAGAGTAGCATGTTCACAAAGATGTATGTTGGTCCCCAGGTAAATCGCGGCAGAAAACCCAGAGATTGAAGGTTATATAATTTACAAGGGACCATAACAATGAGTATTTCGAGGTAAATATCACTAGAAAATTCAAAGCATCTTAGAATAGCTTTCCTAAGATGTTTGTTGTTTTAATCGAAAATGTTACATCTGCTAATTGTTCATAACAAAAGGCAAAAAGTACTTCAACAAAATACTTCTGCCTGGCACTGCCCATTCAATATCTACCTCTACTAGTTCTAGCCTGGTTCATCCACTGCATAATTTTAGCCATTTAGCACATAACGTATGAAAAAGTGTCATTTGCCTTGTTGGTGAACAAATGTATGACGATGGATACGTTCAGTTATAAAATGTAATGCAATAAACCACGAATTTAGCGAAAGTCCTCTTGTTGGTTCAGTGCGGCAGCATATTTATTGCTTCATTGCTGATCCATTCAAAAACCTTAAATTATCAACTCTGCCAAGTTACTTGCAAATGTACTGGGATCTGCTTTCCCTTCCAGCCTTCCTAACCGGTTAAAAATGTTGTACTGTGTTTTTACGCTCTTCTCTGCTGATAGCAAATATTAAAGAAAAAAAAAACACAAAAACTAGCAGGAAGTCAATCTATGAATAAAAATGCTGAGTTCTGTTTGTAAATGAGTGCTAGTGTTTCCTTGTAGGGTTCAGCATCCTGCTCATATACCCAGCAGCCTTGTAATAAATGATCCCTTGGGTGACAGCAGTCGTTAAGAGTTTCCTTAATTGTCAGCTGGCTGTGACGCTGGCAGCCCCGTTGTGCTGACGGCTTGCAAGAGCGGGGGTGTCACCTAAAATGGAGGAAGGCCAGTAGGGGAAAGGATGCGACTGCCTTGGGAGTCAGAATGGAAAAGGGCCCTATTGGCAGAGAGGTTTCACTAAGACTTTCCCTAAAAGCTGCATCTATGTGCATACGGAAGAAGTCCCTCGGTCAGTCTTCTAGGCTACAAAAGACCCGATGTGGGGATTTGAGCGACGCCCTTGTTGTAGGATTTAAAAAACCAAACCAGTTTGAGAGGGAAGCATCTGCTGTTTTCCTCAGGTCTGGATTGAAGGGAGGGGGGGGAAAGTTCAGTAGCCTTCCCTTCCCCATCCGTAAGCCCACAAAGCCTTACTGACCCACCGCTCTTCAAATTCTTGCGGTCTCAGTCAGCAGACAAAATGGTGAGAGTGATGAGTAAAAGTAGCTTTTTTTTAGTTATGTAAATATTGAAGTAATTACAGAAATAGCTTCTTATTGATACCTTTGAGTCTGAAACAGGAGTTTGTTGCAGTAGAAGTGGCTTTGTGCAGATAATGCCCTACTGTAAAACAGCATCCTTTCTTTATTAATGGCCTCAGTAATTTATTTTCTCTTATGGAAGCGGAGGGGGTGCTCGCTCGGGGTCGCTGCCTTCCTTGTATGTAATGCTTTCAAACTTCCATTGATGGAACGGCACCTCGTGACCGGTCTGCCACAGACCAAAAGCGCAGAAGTTATGAGGAGCCGAACTAGTGTGGCTGTTCATACAAATATCTCTATATACAAGTGTATATATATTTATATACACAACACAAAATGATCAGATCTGACTCTTCATCGGTACTCCTCTATTCCATCAAGTACAAAGGACGTTTCTCCTACCTTGCCCTTACGCTTGTGGAACCTCGTAAGGGTCACAGGCAGCAGTAGATGACAAAACCCCTCTGCTGTCACTCCGTCCCTGAAAACATTGAAGAGATGAAGGACAAAGAAAAGAAACAGAAAAGTAACAGCCTGGTTGAGATGCGTGACTTCCACAGTGCTGCACCATCGTGAAGCAAGGGAAGGAGAGATGCTTTGCTGGTTTGCAGAGCAAGCAGCGAGCAGTACTGCTGAACTGGAGGCAGCTGCTGCATTGTTCCAGTCTTGCTGCTGTGCAGGTAATGCAAGGGCTGTGTAAATGCCTTTTATTCGGGGATGAGCAAGAGGAACTGTTGATTAATTTGATAATGAAGATGTACTTCTGTGGTAAGTTGACCTCTGGTGGCTTACATCATGCTTTTCAATCTGTTTTTTCCTTAGAGGAATCAAATAATGTTCATAATTCTGCATCTCACTTCACTTGTGATATCTGTATGAAGTATGACTGGAAAATTGTTAAGCCGTGGAGCTTGGAAAGCAGTCTTTGCTTTGTTGCAAAGTAGCCTCGTTTGCATTTTTAATTTCCACTTTTGCTCCCTGATGAGCATCTTTCCACCACAAATCCTTTTGTTCAGTCTTTCAGGACTCTGATAGCAGAGGGTGGTTACTCCCTTCGCTTACATTTTTATTTGTCAAAACTGCTCTCCATAGTAGAGTAGCAGCACAGGCTGTCCTGTGAGCCCCCTCCCGTGTCTGCAACCTGATTTGTGCAACAGCTCCAACACAAAGGGCCTGGCCCCTGCTCTGTCGTCTCTTCTCAGCTCCCCAAAACTGGGAACTGAAATACAGAAGGCAAATTGGGATAGAGGGAACGTGATTTTTAGCTCCTGTCACGTTCTGCCTTCAGTAAGTTATTGATGGGTACACAAACAGCACGCATACCATGTGAATAACGTACGCTAATCTAAATTCACCCTTCCATGAAACTGTGAAAGAGAAGGGAAGGAGATGGCAGAGAAGAACCCTTGTGCTTCAGATCTGTTAAAACTGAGGAAGCGAAGCACTCTGCGTGCTGGGCTGTGAGTCACCTATCTCAAGACTGCTGCTGAATTTTGAAAAATGGGAAAAAATAGACTGAGACTGCTGGAATAAATGAATATGGGAACTCTGTACCAAGTGAGAAGCCTGAAAATTTGGTAGCATAAAGAGTAACTTAACAAACTAGCGGGAAAATAAAACTTCTGTCTCTTTCCTGCTAACTGCATCATCAGCTGCATGGGCACTACCCATTTTTATTGTCTGCTTTTTTCCATACCGTATAATTAATGAATGTACAGATGCTATAATTATGAAATGTACCAGAGAGCTTGGCTAAGCAGTTGTCATAACGAAAGAGAATAGATAGAATGCTTACCCGTATCCTGGGCTCACTATGAAGCTCCAGAGGAGGGGATCTCCAGCAGAGATCCTTCCTTACTGGTAGTCAGCTCTTAAATGGGTTTAGGAGAGGTGCAGCCAGGCTACACCCTTCCAGCAGGACAGCTGAATTGCCTTCAGCTGTGCTCCCAGGGCTGACTCATTGCTCGCCTCAGGTGATCAATCAGAGGTTCAGGCCGTGATTCGGCAGTTCCCATACAGACATACATTACAATTATGTATTTATTTATTTCTGAGGGGGTATCAAAGAGTTTTCAATGGTGCAAGTATATTGTAGTTTTTGCCTTCTGATACCCTTTCATTGGTAGCCTTACAATGCTGAGTGGTGTGGCTGGCACCTCGAAGACCCACGTTCTACCTGTTGGCACCAGTGGAATTTTACCAAGAAAAAAAGCTTTGCTCATAGGTGGGATCTTTTATTCAATGTATTAATTTAAAGGGGTCATGGGGATCGAGGTCTTCAATTTGGATCTCACACATACGAAGCACGGGTTGGCAGAGCACAGTGCAGCTGGGATGACTTGCTGCCCAGGACTGATTTATTGGAGGCCATAGTGAACTCCAATAAATATAGAAACTTCGTGGCATTTAGAGGCAAGAGGCACAGCACCTCTGCAGAAACTTTTATATATATGTATATATTTATATGGATGTTTAAACCTATTTCTGACACTCATAAACAAGGAGACAGTCTCAGACCTAGACTTCTAATTTGTTCCGTAACTTAAAACCTAGTAGATGTCATTTTCAGATGTTGAGCACAATTCACGTTTTCACACGACTGACAAGTTAAAATGTGCCTTCGAGGGAAGACGGAAAGAACTATTCTTGCAATGCTGAGTGAGTCCAGAGGCTTACGGCTGTTTTCAGAATCCCCCTTCCTTAGGCTTCTCTATAAAAACAGCTGTGGGTCTCTCAGACTCTTGTACACTAACTCACTGAGCACAGCTGGAAGGCATAATTAAAAGTCCTCGTCCTTTCGAAAGAAGAACCAAAGCTTTTCCAAATGCTTATATAGCAAGAAGCAATTTTTGAAGTACTCTGTTACTATAATTGAATTCAACTAGCTTTGTCAGTCTTCAAACATACGGAAAGCAGCATCCAGAAATAGTCAGTGCTGGCTGAAACGCGATGATCTCAACAACGCTTTTATCACCACACACAGGGCACAAGCGATGAAATTTCCGGTGCTGCGCTGAAATAGCACTTAAAAGTGACTTAAGCTGACGAGATGTTACTGCATTAACCATCATTTTCTAACCCACCACTAACTACGGAGGTTGTCCTTGCAGCCTGTCGTTTCACAGCTGAGGACCTCCCAGGAACTGCACGTTCATTCTCCTTTAAAGATTTGGTGAGGAAATGAGTTTCTTTGGCCACACTGAGTTTCTTTGGCACTTGCCAGGCATTGCTGGTCTGCTTGCTTGTTTGTTTGCTTTGTTTGTGCATTTGTTGCACTAAGATGCTTCTCTGTCACAGTGAGAAGTTACTGCACAAGATGCCCAAATCCCATTCAATTGCTAACGTGAATGCACCCTGCAAAGAAAGGTGGGAAGCAGTTTCATCGAGCACTTCCTTCACCCTTCATGGACTTTTCGCTCTAGTTTGGACTTAACAGTCATATGACAATATTTCCTATTTTTATTTTTGGATGCAAACAGCAAGCGTGACCTCGTTCTGCATAGCCCCGGCTTTGCCATAGGGAGATTTTCTGCGTAAGAGCTGCATGAATTGATCTAATTATCCTTCAAGCTACTCTGTAAGCTGCTCTTACGTACCATTTCCCAAGAAGAGGACTCATGATGGTGTGTTGCGATGTACATTAAGTTTAAGGGGTGCTTTAAACACAAATGGATTTTCTACTTTACAGCCCTTAAAGTCAGCAGGAGGATCAGCTCTGGAACAAGCTGTAAGCTCAGCTTTAATTTATAGACAAAGTGAATCGGGACGGTTCTCACATGAAGGCAGGCTTTCAGCAGAACGGTTTTGACTCAGTTTGTGTGCGTGAAATTCCTCGCTGCATAACAGCAGAAGCTGTGAGGGTGTAAAAACAGGTTCACGTCCCCCAGGCCTGGCATTCTCCCCACGGGGAGAAGACTGGATGGATTTTGGATGCGGCCGAGCTGGGACGGTCTCATTGTTTTCATAATAAAACGGCGTGTTACTGCTTTCGCACGGCTTCGTGCGCCCGCAGTTCTGCAGGCTGCCAACTCACACCGACCGCTCCGGGTGTAAACCAAACCATTTCTGCATTGCTCTGACTGTGACCGATAGAAACGTGACTCGTCCTCAAGCTGCCAGCTGGGCTAAATGGCTGAAGGGTGCATGGCGGGGAAAAGTTCTGCCCTTTAGCGTGTGCGGCACACAAAGCACCCCAAATTGTGTTGTCCTGCAGCTGGAAGGAGCTGTGAGTGAGCACTGACCCCTGTGCCACAGGCACCGTCCAGCCTCAGCTGAGCGCAGAAGCTGCCGTGAGCAGCCTCCATCTGAGGCGTTGTTTGGCCCCTGGCTATCCCCTGCTGTGTTGCTCTGGACACCGCATTTTGCATCACGCTGGGAGCATTTAGACGCTGTGTGTGCATTCCCCTGAGAAGACTCGGTTGTGAGAAACCGGAATTTTGTCTTCTACGCAACGCAGAGATTGAAGCCGCCTCTCAGGGTCGGTCGAAGCTCTGAACTCTGCGCATCCGTCCGTGTAAAACGGACTGACCTTTCCTCCCCACCTGCCCCGCGATTCGGAAGGGCAGCGGCACAGAACTACAGAACCGTTCGGCTCGAAGCGGCCCATCCGGTTCCACCGCCGTGCCGCAGGCAGGGACGGCTCCCACCGTTCGCGCCGCTCGCGGCCCCACCCCGCCCGGCCCCGAGCGCCTCCGGCCAGCGGGCGCCGCACCCCCGCGGGACACCCCGCCGCAGGGCCGCGCAGCCACTCCGTTCCGCGCAGCTCTCGCGAGACGAGCCCGGGCGGGCGGAGCGCGGCGCCGTGACGTGCCGCGGGGGGAGGGCGGGGCGGCCGCGTCCCCGAGGCGGTCCGCCGGGGCCCGCGGGGCGGGCGCGAGGCGGCGGCGGCGGCGGCGATGGCGGCCGAGCTGGAGTCCTCGCTGGAGCTGAGCTTCACGGGCAGCGGCACGGTGCCGGGCGGCGGGCTGCCCCCCGCGCGCTCCCGCATCTTCAAGATCATCGTCATCGGCGACTCCAACGTGGGCAAGACGTGCCTCACCTACCGCTTCTGCGCCGGCCGCTTCCCGCAGCGCACCGAGGCCACCATCGGCGTGGACTTCCGCGAGCGCGCCGTCACCATCGACGGGGAGCGCATCAAGGTAGCGGGGCAGCGCGCGGCGCCGTGCCGCGGCAGGGCGGGCCGCCGCCGGGAGAAGCGGAGCGCGTCCCGTCGGGGAGCGGAGCGCCGCGCCGCGTGCGGTCAGCGGGCGGGCGGTGCTGAGGGACGTGCGCTGGCGGGCGGCGGCGGCGGCGGGCGGGCGGTCGGAGCGGGTGAGCGCAGCGGTCTTTTCCGACCATTACGAGTCTATGATTCTGCGCTCTGCTCGCGGGGTCGCGCTGACGGAGCGTTACAAAAGCAGCCGGCCGTGCCATTTGCGGCTCGAACCACCGGTTGCTTCCGAACGCAGCGCGGTTGGCTGCTGCCGGGAATGTCGCTTTAAGCAAAACTCCCTCCTACTTCTGCTTGACGGTTTGTTTCCGCGAGCAGATGTTCGTAGCCGTGTGGCAAGAGGGACCGGCGGCAGTCACGGGGCCGTGCCATCACTGGGTAATTACAGCTGACAGTCAGCTGAGAGCTGTCGTCTTTCTTCACTTTCTTCCTCGTTAGAGGCGTCGTGGGAGGCCCGTCGCACCCCTGGTCCTTTTCTCACGTGCTTTTTTCGCCCCGCGGCCTTTCTAACTAAGAAGCAAATAGCAACAAGAGGCTTTGTTCCTCCTTTCCTTTGTAAAACGATTGAATAGCGCTTCTTCAGCTCCTAGCTGACATTCTGCACTCTGCTCTGTTACTGTCCGTAACAAAAGGGAGAGCCTCTGGAGAGAGGTCTTCCTGTCGGCGCCGTCTTGTTGCCCGGCGCTGTCGGCAGCTCTGGCTGACGCAGAGCGCTGACCGAGAAGTAGCCCGATCCGCGGTGCCGAGGCGCTTCGCTCGGGATATCGTGCCCTTTTGTGATGTGGCTGGCTTTGCTGCCTTCGGAACGCTGCCTGTTGAATACGTCTGGGTTCTGGGTAAGGGAGGTGGAGAACTGGGGAAGACGCTTTTCCGATGCCTGGTTTCCCAGGAGGTTCTGTTTCAGCTGGAAAGGGAATAAACTTTATCATTGTGGCCAGGACTGAAGCTATTAGGAGGACACTACGTGTCATAGAGCTCCACTTTTTGTTGTCTGCCTCCTCCCCTCTTCCCATCCCCACCTCTCTTGCTGTCAGCATCTCTCCGGCAACGCCTGTTGAACCGGGAAAGAGAGAAGCTGAGATGAACCCGGTCGCTGACGTTCTCGTTGTGCCCTGAAGGGCCTGCTGAGTAGAGGGATTTTTCCTCTTGCTTTGAAGGAGAGTATAAGCCGGTGTCTTCCCATTCCCTCTTCTCCCTTCCCCCAGCCAGCTGGATGGTCGCTCCCGTGCTGCTACAGAACAGAGATCATTTCCCTTGCAGCTGGAAAAACGCTGCGTCACTGGCAGTATTGCAAGCACAGCGCATCTCGCCCGGGGTCTCCCACACATTTTCTTACCATTTCAAGACAAGAGATGGGTGTATTCCTCCGTAGCTGATGCAGCAGGCTAACGGCTGCATATGAAACACGAATGCCCAGATGAGAGGAATAGATTAAATTGTTCAACGAACATTGTGTGCTGCATTTTTTTCCTCCAAAGTTCACCTTAGCGCTGAAAATCGATGAGAACAGTGACATCACTCTTTAGTGACCTACATAAGAAGAGCGAAGGATGCAAATTAAATTCAAAGAGGAGTGTTCAAAAATCGTGTTCTGCACCTCTCAGCCATTCACAGGCGG